AAATCTGGGGCAGGAACCATCTGGCAGATGTCATGGTGCATCTGGAAGCTTCTGCTGAGGTGCAGGAAGGGGCGACAGGCCGCGGGGCGTGCGGACGGCACTGGACACGCCTGGTGCTGCTGCTGTCACTCTCGCAGGCGGCACCGGGGCCGGGGATATGGCCGCCCACTTGGGGCGACGCACACAGGCAAGGTCCAGGGGACAGGGCGGGCGCCGAGGACAGGCGACTACACCGGCTGCCCCGCGTGTGGTCCGCCGATTGTCCGTCCGTGAAGTCATGTGGGACACTCAGCTGCTGGGGGACACTGGCCCATGCCGGAGCCCACAGACCACGTGTGGCTGCTCCTGCAGCACCGGGGCCCACGGAGCACAGCGTCTGCATCGCCGCGGAGGCTCCCGATTCGTGCCGGACGGAAACGCAGGCTGGCCCGTCCCCGTGTGACAAACCCCGGTCCCGGCGGTGAGCGGGCTTGGAGGGCTGTGCTTAGAAAGCGCCCACGCCGCCCACTGGCCTCCAAGCCTGGCGCCGGCACCCCAGCCGCCATGCTCGTCCTTCCCCCGGCCACCAGGGCGGCGCTCACTGGCGGCCCTTCTCTCTCCCCAGTGGGCCCCACGTACCTGTTACTCTGAGTGATCTTTTGACCACGCACCTGTTACTCTGAGTGAACAGACTGTGACACGCAGACGGCCAAGACCTGGGAAAGCCCGCTGGGCACCCACCACCTCGCACCGGCCAGCACGCTGCTCTCAGAAGGAACAAGTGCTGGCAGGACACGGAGGAAGGGCCCGGCGCTCCGCTGGCGGGAGAGCGGGCTGGCGCGGCCGCTGCGGGGAGCAGCAACCGCAAGTGACGCTGCCGTGCAGCCAGCAATTCCGCTTCTGGGTCTACGTCTGAAGAAAACAAAAACGCTGATTTGGAAAGATCCACGCACCCCTGTGTCCACCGCAGTGTCACTCACAGCAGCTGAGACACAGACGCAGCCCAAGTGCCCACTGAGACGCACCTGGGAGAGACAGCGGGACGCACACACAGGGGACTGTCACTCGGCCGTAGATCCGAATGAAACCGTGCCGCTCGCAACAGTGCGGGTGGACACAAGCTGAGTGAAGTCACACACAGACAGAGAAATACTGTGTGATCTCACTAATACGTGGAACCTAAATAAACAAAGTGAGTAAGCCAAACAGGAACAGACCTGTGGATACGGCGAGCGAGCCGATGGCGGTCAGAGGGGCGGGCAGCCTTGAACCGGGCGAGCCGGGACCATAGGGGCTCAGACACTGCGGTGACGGGCACCTGGCCCCGGCGGGCGCGGCTGCGCCGGGCTCTTCCCACTCATGCGCGCCGAGCCTGCCCGCGCCGGCCTTGGCTCCGCGTGCCCGTGAGTCTGAAAAGCCAGCTCTGCTGGGACGCCCCACGCCGGGTCCTCACGGCCTCTGTCTCGGGGCGAAGGTCACTACTGCTCGGCGGGGTCGGGCTCAGAGACCTCCCCTCCACAGCCCTCCTCCTCCACGGCCGCCGGCGCGGTGTCCTTCCGAGCTTACGTGGACCCTGAGTTAGTCCTGCTCGGTCAGCTTTCACTTGCTTTCCCGCTGCCTCCCGCGAGCGGACTGCGAGCTCTGCCCCCTCAGCACGGGTCAGGCCCAGTGTCGGGGGGCTGCCCGGCGGCCCTGGGGCGGGCTGCCCTTTCCCGGCGCCGCCGAGGCGGTCACACCACGAGAACGTGTTCACCGACTCAACTGGCTGTCGGGCTGGGTGGCAGGAGCCACATGTCAAACCACGGCGGGGTCTCCCCCGGCCGGCTCTGCACGACGCGCCTTCAGGAGCGCGGAGGCCCGGCTGCCGCTGTCGCGCCGTGAATCACAGCCGAGGGGCGGCTCACCCGGGCGTTGGGGGGGCAGCAGGGGCGGGGAGGGAAAGGCCATGGCTTTGTGCGTAATAAATAATGCATTTCCAGATGACTTTCCCCACTGCAGGAAGACTTCTCCATTTCAGGTTTTTACGAGTGTGCCTTCTTGCATTTGCATTTTCTAAAGGTCTATGTGCATCCTGAACCCATCAGCAGCCTAACTGCTTCCACAGTGGAGGGACGGGTCATGGGCACGGGCCTCAGGCGCCCCCGTCCGGAGTCCAGCCCAGTCCCGCTTCTCGGCTGCGCCTCTCAGGCGGCTCCGCCGCTGGGCGTGCCCTCGTCCACCTGGGCAGTGGCCCCGGGGCGCGGCGGGGGGCGGGAGGAGACAATGCATTCCCGTGCGCAGGGAGGCCCGGGAGCCCCACCTGGTCCTGCCACGCAGGACGTGCTGGCGCTGTGGTGGTGGGCGCCGCCCTGGGAGGCCGGGGCGCTCGACCCAGACACACAGCGAGGCGTGTCTGCGAGCGGAGCATCTCCCCGAGGGCTGGGGACCCGCATGAGGACAAGGAAGTACAAAGACGAAAGAAAACGCGGCGTGTACCACAGCGTGACTGCGTTCTCAGAAAGTCCGTAGGCGACAGAGCGGACTTGGCCTGTCAGTCAGCCAGTGACACAAGAAAAGGCGGCTGCGGGAAGTCAGGTGCAGAGGAGCCAAGAAGCGGCTTCCACGCTGAGAAGGAAAAGAAATCTCGTCGTTGTGGACGCCAGCAGAGACGGCAGTCACAGTGGGGGCAGGAGGGGGCGGCGGGAGGGGAGGCCCTGAAGGCTCTGGAGATGAAGGCAGGGCGTGTCCGGGCGCAGGACGCCCACCCACAGGCGCGGAGAAACCCGCCCGGTCCAGGAGCGCTGGGCTGACGTGCATCTCACCGGACGCTCGTCAAGAGCACATTCCATGGTCCGCAGAGACGGGGGGAGCTTCGCCTGCTGGGTTTACGGCGGCGGAACTTCCTCGTGAGCCACAGGTTTGGGGGGCCTTGACCCACAGGACTGAAGGTGGCGCAGGTGAGACGGGGCAGGGGCGTGGGATGCCCCGCCCCCGCCGCCCCGAGGCCCACACACGGGAAGGCCCGCGGGGCCTGGCGCCGTCCACGCTCCCGAGAAGGCGTCCACACATTTCCTGATGTTTCCTTCAGACTCGTCGCCCCGAGGACAAAAACACATAAACCCACGAGAGGCCTCACCTCGTGAACAGAAAAAATAACGTAGAAAAACTCACGTAAGCACGTGAGTGTATTTTTAAAAAAATTTTCAAGACCATAAATTTCAGGAAAAAATACGCAAAATGTTGAGGAAGAAGAGAAAGTCTTTGGAAAACGAGCCTCAAGGGGACGTGCTGCCCGCACCTCGGCCTGAGCCCCCAGGGCAGGGCTCCAGGCTGCGGGGGAGGGGAGGCGGGGCGCGGGGCCGCGGCGGCCGCCGAGCTGCGCACAGGCCTCACGGGGGCGCTGCTCTGGCATGCGGCAGGTGGGCCAGCGGCCGGCAGAGCTCTCACGAGGGCAGAGCGAGCAGGCGTGCAGTCTCCCAGGTCGCCGAGGGGGAGCGCGGGCGGCGGGCAGGGAGCTCTCCTGCCTCCAGACAAGCGCAGCTCCTCCCGGGCACAGGGCCAGCGAGCCCTCGCTGAGGCCCCTCCCAGCTCTGCCGTCACAGGACCGCGCGGCACCCCAGGCATCGCAGTGAGGGAGGGGCTGGGCGTGGGATGGCTTCCCAGGCCGCGGTGGGGGGGGGGGGGGCGCAGGGCAGGGGTCTCGTGAGGGCTGGGGTTCCTCTGGGGCTGAGGCCCAGCACTTGGGACAGGTGCCAGGGGCATCGGGGACATTCAGGCCGAGGCACGCGGCACCCAGGGCCAAAGGAGCGAGGGCCTCCCTGCGAGAACTGAGCCAAGCTCGGGCTCTGCTACAAGCCCCGCAGAGCAAAGGTGCTGAAAAGCAGCACATTCACATAATCGCTTATTCAAGACAGTCTCGCATTGCCCAGAACAGAACCGCTAACAGCGCACACACAGGGGTGCCACCTACCCTCCCGCAGCAAACAACGGACCGGGTGGCGTGTGCCTTTACAGAGGAAGAAACAGCCAGCAGGAGCCCGTACGCGCGAAAACCCCCGCCCCTTCGCACTTCCTAAGGAACAACGCGCCAACTCACCTGCGGTCGCCAGGCAACCGTCCATTACCTTCCACAGAGGGAGAAATTCCTGCAGCTCCCTCACCACTACGCAATCACACTGCCAGCACTTGTCAGTGGACACCGAGGGGGCCCCAGGCAGCCCCCGAAGGCCCCCGCGTGCCCCCAGTCCCGGCACAAGGTCTCCGTGCGCAGCAGAAGGAAGCCCAGGCTGTGCTCAGAGACGAGCGGCCACCCGTGCCTGCACCCCACTCAAGTCAGGGTAGAAACACCGCCCTCCCCTCAGGGGGCTCCAGGAGAGCTGGGCGGCAGGCTTCCGCGGGCATCACGCGCATGGTCAAGGGATCGAGGCGGCTGGCCCTCCCGCTGACCACGTGTGCTCCGCGGACACCAGGGCGCGGCTGGCCCGGCACGCACGCCCGGCTGCGTCCCGCCCGCGCCAGGACCGCAGACAGCCTACGCCCTTGAGGTCGCAGGCGACCAACGGATGCCTGTGAGCAAGACACGGTCAGCTCGTCCCCGCGTAATACTTCGCTTGAAAAAGGAAACGAGCTCATCCGACGTAAACAGGACGCCACTTCCCAGGCATCGGCGCGTACGGCCTCAGGGCCACCCGCCTGCCCGCACGCCTCACACCCCTGCCTCTCCAGGCCCCGCAGGGGACGCGTCTGAGACACCGGAGCAGTCACACTGTGTGACGCAGACAGCTCGTCAAACCGTCGACCCTTTCCATGTTAACGGGGGACCCAAATCTAATACCGGGAATTTGACCATTTCCCTAAGAGTGTCCTGGTACATTCTTTTAGAATAAAGCAATTTCCAGAATCGGCGCTTTGCAGCAGAGTTCACGGTGCTGCCGCGCCCACCCCAGGCCTCACTGACACCTCCCCCCGCGCCTGGTTCGCCGTGCGGAGCCTCCTCTGCCCCGGAGCCCCCTGGGGCCCGCCCAAGGCAGCGGCATTCTTACCATGGCCAGAGGGACGATGCCGATCAGGGCCTTCTGGCTGACGTAGATCTTGGAGACGCCCAGGTCTGACGTGACGTCCCCTGGGTATTCAACCTGCCAGGTGACCAGCTGGGTGGCCGGCGGGTCGCCAGGCTCCTCGACCTCCACGTCGACCTGCATGACTTCCTCGGAGGTGCTGCCACCGGCCCTGGGGACGCAGAGGACAACTCTGAGGGCCAGGGCGTGCTCCCTGGCAGGGGGCGGGGGGCGGCCACACTGACCGGCACCGGTGCCAGCCGCCCAAGACCCCGCCCGCTGCGTTTGTGAGCTGCGCCACCCCCGCCCCCGAGTGTTCACAGAGGGCAACGGGGTGTGGCTGCGCCCCTCCCCACCCCGGGGGGCCGGGGTCTGCGCCCCCTTCCGCACGCCCTCACTCTGCGTGGGCCCAGCTCCCCAAGGCCCGGTGCCTGCAGGACGGGCCCCACATCCAGGGCGTGTCTGAGGGCGAGGTGGCTTTGTGTCCGCAGGTGAGCTGGGCTGCAGAGGTCAGAGGGGAGGCACGGGTGGGGGGATGGGGCGTGGGGACAGGGTCCGTGAGACGGCCGTGAGCTTGTGGACGCTCCGGCTTCCCTACACACCCCCCGGAGACGAGTCCAAGCTGGGCGCCCAGGCTCAGAGGTCGGGGGGGGCTCCCCGGAGCTGCCTCCCTTCCCCGGCCAGGGTGAGATGGGGACACGGGGGGAGGGGGTGACGATGGTGAAATGGGGTGGGGGACGAGGAGAGCAAGGCACAGACCGAGACGGGAAGGGCGAGGCTCGTACGGCACGGGAGCAGCTGCAACAGCTCTGAGCCCTGGTGTCCGGACCCGGCCGGACCCCGTTCGTCTCAGCTGTTGACAGCAAGATGCTTAACTGTGCGGAGCGCAGCGGCCGCGGTGGCCGGAACCAGGGACACGCCGCGCTCCTCCTCCTGAGACGCACGGCTCTCAGCGTCTCGAAGCAGCCAGCCGCACGCACGGTGCTCTCGGGGGCCGAACGCGAGCGTGCGGGCTGCTCTCTGTGTGGCACTTAGAAGGACGCGGGCGCCGCGTCCCTACTCACGAAATGAGAGGACCCGCGCCCGGCCGTCTCGGTGTCCTCGCGACGGCAGGGAGAGCCAGGAGCAGAGCTGGCGCGAGCCGCGTTCCAGGACACGACGCCACCCCGGGCATCACGGGGCTCCTGCTCGGCGGGGACGCCCGTGTGCAAGGACGTGGCCCTGCTCTGCCTCCCGACACTGACAACCCCCTCTCCCGGTCCCTGCTCGGTCCCGAACCTCAGGCACGCTCAGCCATCCCGGTGCCACCCAATGCCGGGACTTCCTCACCGCCCGGCCCCACAGCTCACCTCTGGGGTTCGCGTCACAGAAACGCAGGTTGAGACCCCGCTGTGCGTTCGGCTTTTCCCCCCTGCGAGACCCATCCGCGACCACGGCAACCGGAAAAGTGCCGTGTGGACTCCCTGTAACTTCACCCCCTCAGCAGCGTCGCGTGGCTGTCCTGTGAGGGGTGACTTCTTCTTTCCCCTGAGGTCTTTGCCCGGCCAACGCAGCAAGGACACAGGGCTCCTTGGAGCAGACGGCCCCTCTGTGACGCGCGGGTGAGGACACCCTGCGCGGGCACTTCCCAGCTGGGGACCCGGCCCAGCTCCGGGGGGACGCCCACCCCGAAATGGCGCTCCGACGCGGGTCTTCTCGAATGAGCCCCCAGCGTGCGTGGGCTCCCTCCCGGCGCCCATTTACAACCACTCCCCCGCGTGCCACAGACTGACCTCGAGCGGCCCTGTAAGGAGGGATGTTTTCCTCAGAGGAGGAGGCTTCGGCGCTTCTCAGGGACGGAGGTGGGACCGAGGCGGGCGGCACGGAGACTCAGGACACACAAAAGGCCCCCGTGGAGAGCGGGGGAGGCGGGGCCCTGCGTCAAGGGACACGTCTGCGCTGCGGCCCTCGAGCCGCCCCCACCCCGGGGGACGTGCCCCCCCGCGGGAGCCGGAGCGTGAGGGCGGGAAGAACAAGGCGACTCTCAGCTCCCCGCCTGACGTTTCCTTAAACACATTCACCTGGACCTGGAGAGCTACTTCATTTTCAAATAATTCTTTCTGTTGAGAGTTTTTACTTAACAAGAACCCACCCTGCGCGCCGCAGGCGCACGGGCACTCTTGCCAGGGCGGCGGATGGTGCCGGGTCCCAGCCCGGCGGAGCGAACGGCACCGCGGAGGCCCTGGCGCCTCTGCTTGGCGGCTGAGGCAGCGCTGGTGTGACGCGGGCGGACACACACTCAGCACAAGGTAGGGGCGGCGTGGCCACGCCCCCACACGATCGCACCGGGGCGCCCCTGCGTGTCCCCTGCGGGGATGGGCTCTGCGGATGCTCCCCCCTCCCTGAACGGACAACCGCCTGTGGTGCCCAAGGTCCCCTGGGCGTTGCTCTCGAGAATCCTCCACTGACAGCATCTCCCTGCCCCGCTGGGCAACTCGGTGTCTCTTCCTCTGCCACTCCGTCCATTTCCACGTATTTTCAGGAGAGAGCGGTCCAAGCGGCAGCTGTCCAGCCAGGCCGCCTGCAGCTGGCAGGTCCCGGGCAGGTCGCTGGAGAGCATTCTCAGTGTCCTGACGAGGGGTTCGGCCACCCGCCTTCGGCTGCACCACAGCGCCCAGGGGACGCAGGCTGGGGGCCGTCTTCCCGTGGGACGTGCCCCCAGACGTCCACGCTGACGGCACAGCTGCTTGCGAAACCCGTGGCACCGACCTCGGACGCCGTGCGCACGAGGCTGCGCAAAGGGCGAGCAAAGAGGCCTCCTTCATGCAGCCACGGGCTCTGTGAGTGCAGAGCTGAGCTGCCGGCGCAGAAAGGTCTACGTTCATTTGAAAATGCAAACAAGATGACTAATTGATGGTGCCGATAATTGCTGGCTCTGCTAATGGTGTTCTCGACTCCCACCTGACATGACAAATGAAAGCCCTGCAAGGCTCCGACGCTGTGTTCTTTTGTGATGAAACATAATTCAAGCGTGTACCTAGCGAGCTGTCAGACGAGAGCCGGCCGGGCGGCTGGGCTCAGCAGTGGCGCGCAGCAGGGACGGGCCGCTGCAGCCCTGGCCAGGACTCAGCCGCGCTTCCGCCCCCCGCGCGGGGCCCGAGGCTGCAGAGCGGCTGCTGGTCGAGGTTAACAGAGTGTCAATTTCTCGGTGTCAACGTCAACACACTCAGAGAAGCCTTGCAACTTAAATACAACGGAAGAGAGACTTCAAGTCAACGCTGCCTTTGGTCTGGGGCGCGACGGGCGACTCACCAAAGCACGTGGAGGAGGAGAACCTCATCACAATCGCAGGCCTCCCGGCCGCCCACGCAGAGCGAGCAGGGCTGCTGCGCCCGACCCCCCGGGCCGCAGACGTCCCCCTGGGAACCCCGACGGCCGCGCCCCGGGCCCGCGTGCGCTCGGCGTCAGGCCCGGGGACCCCGACTGGCCCTGCTGTGCTGTCTCGTCGGGTCCACGTCGGAACGTGGCCAAAGCCCTGCTGTCGGCTACTCTCACACGCACAGACACACGGAGGCGGGTCGATGGCAGGCTCGGTAGTTTGTCCTCAATGTGGATGGAAGGGGCGACAGCCTCTGTGAACCTCCAGAGCTACACCGGCCACGCGGGTGGCCGCAACCACTGAAGGGCTGCGTGAACGGCGGAATGACCAGGCGCCAGGACGGACACGTGGAGAACGCCGTGGCCGGCCCTGGGACGGTCGCCCTGGCCGGGACGGGCGAGCCTGGAGCAGAAGCCCGCTGCGGAGCCCATGTTGGGGGCCGGCGTAGGTTTCATGTGTAAACCGAGGGACCGAAGAGAGGAGAGCCATGCCCATCGGCACAGCCCACAGGCCCTGCCCAGCCAGGCGGCTCAGCCCCTCACAGGACATGTCACCAAGCCAAGGGGCCGCAAGTGGCTTCAGGACTCCTGTCTGCATGGCGCCGCCTCATTCAATCGACTTCAAGATGGCCCCCTCCCCCCTTTACATTTTAACTTCTTTGCAACTGCGCGATGCTGCCCTCTGCCCAGGAGACCTGGCTGCTCACGGGGGGCGGGGCACGTGAGGGAGAAGCGTGCGTCCCCGGGTACGGTCTGCAACGTGTGCTGTCCTGCATGTCGTTGCTCGTGCCGCAAAGTGCCAGCGCCTCACACGGCACGGGGGTGGGGGGTCTGGAAGGAAAGCCTGAGGACAACAGCGGAGGCTCCTTCAGAGAAGCGGGGGCCCGGAGCGCAGGGCCGGTGGGTGGGCCGCGGCGTGCGGGGCTCGGCCTCGGCTCGGTGGAGGGCCAGGCGTTTCGCCTTTCTCTCACTTTAAGTGCGTGAATTACAGTTACATGACAAAAATCAGAGCTAAAGGAAACAAAGTGTAAACTGTTACGAAGAAAAGCTGTTATGGTTTAAACGGTCTTCTTATCAGCAATCAAAATAATAGTGCCTCTTACCACCCACGGCTCCGCAGCTCCAACAGGCCGGGGTGACGCCGACACCGTGCTCTGGAGAAGGCGATTTGCAAGGCGGGTTTCTGCAGCGCCGCCCAGGTCCCCGGAGTGGCTACCTGTCCCCAAAGTCGCGGAGCAAGCAGAGCGGAAGAAGCGCCCGGTTCTGGCAGAGACCGCCTTCCTGGGACCGCCAGCCCCGCCCCGCCTCTCGCCCTGGGATCCGACCTTCCGGTTCTCAGCCACGCTGAGGGGAGCGTCGTCTTGTGCGCAGCCAGCAGAGGCCGCGGGACGGCGCCTCTTGTGCCAGGTCCCCCGCGGCGACGTCGTCCTGCGCAACGACCATGGTGCCCTGTCACCGTCAGGACACGGGCCGCGACCTGACCCCCGGGTCTCACGCCGTGTCCCCCGCTTCCCGTGAGCACGTCTGTCTGATGGCCGACGGCCAGAAACGCTGAGCAGCTCCGTCACCACCAGGACCCCCCCCCCCCCCCCGGCCCCACGGAGCTGCTCCCTGCATCACACGCGCTCCCATGTCAGTGACGTGCACGTGGAACCATGACGACGGCAAGCTCTTGGGGCTGCTTTCTTCACCCAGCGTGCCCCTCTGAAGGGTTTTCCGAGCTGGCGCCGCCATCAACAGTTCGTTCCCTTTTACTAAATGCAGCATTTTTGGAAAACAAAACAGGAACTGCGTCCTTCGCAC